GAGCTGTCCTCGTGTTCTTTTATTTCCTCATTAATGTATATACATATGGTACTATCTTACTTCTTTCTTTCTTGAATGGGAAAAGTCTTAAAAAGAGAGAATTCTCACCTCAAACCTTTTACATTCCTCTTTTTACTCCTACGCCCCCACGGGCACCACCACGACCACCGCCACAGACACACACAAGCACAGACAACTCAAGAAAGGGAAAAAAAAAAAAGGTAAAGACAGAAACAAATACATCCACCAAGTAAACATAAGCTCCTTTCAAAAAGTATGCAATATCCAATTCCAGGATATCACAACATCCACCCATGGTCACAACAGTGTACAATTGCTCAAAGTAGATACATTATGTGCTTGATAAACTGACACAGACCACTGCTCCCCGTATGATAGAAATAAATATGTGTAGCCTTTTGTAGGTAGAGAACTTGAAAAAGTAAGTATGAACTCAAGTATGTGAAACAGGCACATTAATTTAACCCATCCATTGTCACACTCCATTAACGATTTGCTTGATGGTTATGTTACAATAATACCACTTGGAGTAAGAAAGCTCTCTTAAAGAAGGTTGCAAATTGTCAGTGATTGTCATACATCTTGTTCCCAAACAGTTGACTGTGAAAATTATCGCTCATCTTAGGCAGTACGATTTACCCGTAATGCTACAAGCCCAGAAAATAATTATCCAAACAAACGGTCCTAATTGGGTTATCCAAGTGAAATACATGGCCCTCAAATTGTGAATCTCGGAGTCAGAATTCAACCAAAACCAACATATTTGCATATAGAAGAACTCGAAAGTTTAAATAAATAAATAAAAAAAAGTTAAATTCCAAACAGGAGCAGAGCAGTACACCTATGTTATGCTTCCCTTTGGTCCAAATTGACAATAACATGGGTCCAGAAAACCCCATTAAGTCTACGAACTTAGGAAAATACGTGCATAGCTGAACCTGTCACCATTAAGCTATGTACCGGCTCAACCAATGGAGCACCACACTGGGAAAGAAATTTATCATCGCTTTCACATGGGTTGTTATCTCTTGACTTTCTGATTGGAAGACGTGCAGGTGCAGCCCCATAAGAAAGGAAAATTATAGAGCTTCTAGAAAGGAAATTTATAGAGCTTCTAGAGGCTATGCTAGCTGACCTAGAAATTTCCTATTGCTTGCAATATTCACCATTCCAAACAAACACATGCTTTTGGCACCCTATAAATCTGTAGATGTCTCATGATTATGCAGAGGTTCAATCAATTATGATCAGGCGCAACGAGCCAACCGTCACCACTTGGCACTTGCTGCTCTCTCTACATTTCAATCACTCTAATAGTCAGTTCAAAGAAGCGCAAAACGTTATAATTAATTAAGATTTAAAGAAACATGTAACAGTCAATCCAGTTTCCCACCAGGAGAAAAGCGTTACATTTTGCAATATTTGAACCACAAACTAGTATTTGATGGCTAATCCATGCAGCCTCCATTACTAAACAAGAATGACTAGGATGCAAGCACTTTTAAATAGTTATCTAGATGTCATGACAGCAAGATTAGTCATTTTATACACACGTTCAGAGATGCAATGCGACTAGGTAAAGCTTCTGAAGCACACATCTGACAATGCCTAGCACCTTCAGAAGCTTCAACTGCCAAAACAACAAAATTCGCATAAAACTGCCAATCAAATTGGAAAAATTACTCTCCAGATGCATGTGCTTCCAATTACTAAGTGGTGCAATATCAGCATCAAAGTCATATTAATGAATAGCGTAACAAAAGGGCCTCTAATTTTTAGCCTGATTGTACTGTTCTTGATCGAACTACAACGGGATCTTGACATAGTTAAGAAGCTGCCTCTAATTTTTAGTCTGATTGTACTTCATGGTGCAGTAAATTTATAGGGTTTCCTTAACTTTTATGCACCAAGTGCAAATCCACCGATCGGTCCTGTCTTTAAACTATACAAGGGGCCTTCAGATTAACGTTTTTAAATGCATCTAAGTGAATGAGTCCTTGAAATGTATTTTCTATAAAGATGTACCTGTCCATGAGTAATTTTCAGGCACGAGTTCTCAAAGTCCTATGGAAGATCAAGGTGTGTTAGCAACCTTTTCTAAGTGAAGGAGGTAACCAACGTACGCAACAGAAACAATTAGTATTTCTAAACAGATCCAGAAAATCTAAATGACAATCGCCATTTGAAATTTTAGGTGACCGCTCTCTATCAACCAATATGCAGGAAGGGTTGTAACTCCTTCATGCATATGGTTGGTGTCTAAGTCACGAAGAAATTTATGAAAAAAACAAAAAGCTTCCCTTCTAGCATTTGGTCACAGTAAATGGATCTAACAAGTAACAAGCCATCCTCATACTAGGTTCTGCCTCACATCACAATATTTCAGCGGTCGTCACTTTTTCTGTTCCACCAATTTCTAAAGGGTGAAGAAATCAAACAACAGAGTGACCAATTACAAAAAAATCTTTGACAAGTGATCCCACATGGGAAGAAACAATTATTAGTCAGATAAAGTACAAGCTATTAGTTACGACTTGTTTGGTATGCGAGAATCCAATGAAGTGAGAATGGAATGAACTAAGGCATGAAACGAAATTAATGTGGGAATCGGATGCTCACTTCCATTCTCACGTTTGTGTTCAATCTAGAGAATGAAGTGGGAATGGTCATATTTGGAAACTACCTATTTTATAGATTCACATTTAAGTGGGAAAGGCCATTCCCTACCATCTCATTGGGAATGCTCATTCCCACAAAAATCGGGAATTGATGGGAATGTCATTCTACCTTTCAAAAAGAGGTGGTGTTTGTAGAAAGGAATGAGAAGTGAGAATTGGCGTTTCATTCCCACTCGTTCCCGCATACCAAGCGAGGCCAAAGGCTCACGATCAGGAAACTCTTTCCTAGGGACACGCTAAAGCACGGTCGAGTAAATTTCTAAGTGGTGCTTTTCCTCCAACACGCATGATGTTCCTAACTCCCACATAATGCTATGTGACAAAGGAATTCAGTTCCAAGGAACTCAGCTGCTGCTCTAATTTCTAATTCATTCTTTGTCACTGAATATCAATTTCTACGCCAAATATGATGACGCACTTGGGCGCCATTTGTGTAACAAAGAACACTTTTACCAATATTTGTAACAGGTGGCATATGGTGTTAATTTTGGTACATTATAACTACAAACGAAAAACAAAAAATTCTACGCAGTTTGAATCGCGGAAAACCACCATCATAGCATCATTTTCAGCTGTTTGTTTCACTAATAATGGCAATTACAGTTGCGAAAACACTACTCGCATTGACCTATTTCTGCAAGCTGTGAGCTTTTCCCCCCATTACGTTACAACAAACATAACCTCCCCAATCCCCACACCCGTAAGGTTGATTACAAAAACCTGTTTATCAAATATCCCAATCAAACCCTAAACACCTAAACAACAATAATCCAAATCATCATCACGACAACAACATAAATGATCAGGGGGAGGAGGAGGAGGAGAAGATTACTGTACACAAATCGATCTACGATCAGTCCGAGTGCGAATCGTAACCGTAGTCCAACGACGACGACGACGATGAAGAGCTCGAAGGCGACGAGGATCGATCGCGGTAGTGGTCGTAGTACTGGGGGTCGGGGTTGATAGGGAAACAGAAGAAGGAGAAGAGGCAGAGGGCGAGTCGTCGGAGATGGCGGAGAGGCAAGCAGCAGAGGAGGTCGAGGACCTGGTCGCCGCTCAATCGCTCGGGATTGCACGCGATGAGCTGGCAGAGGTCGGCGGAGGCCGACGCCACGCGGCACACCGCCGCGCTGCTGAACACCATTTGCTGGTTTCTCGCCGGCGTTGACGGTGGTGATTTTGGTTTTCGTTTGGGATCTGGTTTGGTTTTAATTTGGGCTCGGGGGACGGGGGTACCGTGACGCAGAAGATGAAAGCGGGCCGGTTTACTAATTATTTTCACGAGGGATGATGAGGGAAGCCGGGGGGCTCTCAGTCAAACAGGCTTCTACCTTTTGGTAAGGCTGAGCATGGTTCGATCCAAACCGAAAAAACCGACCGAACCAAACCGATTCGAAAAAATTGGTTTTATGAGTAGGGCGGTTTGGGTCGGTTTGAAAACTTTTCAACCCGAACCGATCGAATATAGTGCAGTACTACCCATTCTGATCTCAAACCCTACCAAACTCGTCCCTAAAGAGTCAAAGACTTAAACTCTAAACTTATTTTCTGGATCATTATGGGTTAAAAACAATATCATTATATCAGTGTTTAATGCTTCATAATCTCCTATTTTGTTGATATTTTTTTTCTTTAACACAGTTTGTTGTTTGATAAGAAGTTTGATGAAGTTAGAACCGAACAAACCGAACCGAACCGCACCGAACCGATTTGTAACAGTTCGGTTCGGTTTTGAATTATAAGCGTTCGGTTCGATTGTTAAAATTTTGGTAAAAACCGAACCAAACCGACCGTTGCACACCCCTACCTTTTGGAAAGGTAAATTGCAGATGAGCCCCTCGTTTATTAAAACTTTCGATACCTCAACTCATGGGGGGCAGAGGAATATCTTAATAATAAATAAACTAGTTGAGGAATAGGTAAGCTGCTGCTGAATGTACAAATCAGAGAAATTGTCCACAATTATTTACCCGGATTAAAATGGAACAATAATCAGCTTCCCGTGCACAGAACTGCTCGGAGTGATTACGGGTCCTCAACTCTATCACAGTAGAGCAGGATACGATAACGATCACCCACACGGACTCTAGCGTACAATAAGCCAAAGCTCTAAATTATAGAGCTGCACTGATTCTTAATCGAAATAATCACCATGAACGGATCGGATCGAAGGTTTACCGGGTGAAATACAAGGCTACTACCTCCACATCATGTAGGCGACCAAGTCTACATCATGGAACTCGACAAACACCGATTGCATCAAATGAAGAAGATTTCTAATAGATTGACAAGGAAATCTTGTCCAAACACCATGCATCAACCCGTAATACATCACAACCATTGTACATTATTCAAATTGTATAGTGACCGATTAGTCTCACATGAAACAAGAGAAAATACAAACGTCTGTAAATCGACGTGATGGAAAATACCGAGAACGCCAGATTTTATGACACAACAAGCAAAGCAAGTAAACAAAAATATTCCTAAATGCAGATAGCATGAACCACCGCAAGCCTCCAGTAACACCAACTGCAGCAGGATTAATTCACCGCAAATACAGACTCAAGGTATAGTACGCTGATAGAGGGGCAGAGCTCCTAATGCCTCCCGTTCGGCTCTTTCTCTCTTCACCTACAAATATGTGAACATGTCATAAGATCCCTTTATACATCTCCAACTTACTCATCTCAGAAGAAGATGAATAATAGATATAAATGATTCTCAATCCGCTAGCAAGTATCCTGTAATCCTTATCTGAAGAATATTTTTAATTTATACACTGAGATTCTAGTACATTATAATCTGTAGCAATCGGTAGAAACAATTACAGTAATGACGTAATAGTTTGTGAAAGCAAAGAAACTAGTCACCAGAGAGTAATGACGTGAACAACCATTTTCTTATCCTGGTAGACAAGCATATACCTGAATTTTTCATGCAAAACATTTCTCCCTCAAACTTAAGAGTTACTAAACATAGTTAAGCGATACCATTAATATGCATGTGGACAACTTTAGTCTGAAGTCCAGCCCGTGGGTCCGGGTCAAGGAATAGAGCGGGAGATCCAACGTGTGTGCGCTTTTCCAAATTTGATCAAAGAATAAGACTGAGATGACCTTATTCATTGATGAACTCTACTAAATTTTTATTTCACTTAAGAAACTCCAGACATTAATGAAATAATCAGACAGCACTATCATAGAACAGGTCGCACAATCCTTTCCATCAGAGCACTCAGAAAAGAATTTCTATACACAGCAAAAGAATAGTGGGAAATCCAAGGTGTGTGCTATTCCACTGATAAATTTTGATCAAAGAATAAGACTGAGATGACCATGTTCATTGATGAACTCTACTACATTTTATTGCACTTAAGAAATTTATAGACATTAACAAGATTATCAGACAGTATCATCATAGAACAGGTTGCACATTCCTTTCTATCAGAGGATTCAGAAAAGGATTTCTATACACAGTAACAGTAACACACCACTTTCATTTCGCAACATGGACAGGCATAAAGTAATTAAAAAACTACCAATGTTAAAAGATGCCATATTCATATTTAATTCCTTATAATCTGATCTGAGTACTTCTTTTAATCAACATCTCCCTAGTATGAGTTATGCTGATTATGATATAAAATGAAACATGTTCAAGCTTTCTTACAAACATAAAAAGAACTGCCAGAATTGTCAATTATGCATATTGCACAGAAAACAAATAATATCTACTTAGATATAAAAGAGGTTTGTCAAGGAGCCTTTTGTCGAAGATCATCCAGGGAGTGTAGGTAAAATTCACCAATGTAGGTACCAAAATAGCATCAGTTGAAAATGTAAAAAAATTTGCAAAGATGATTAGCAAAAAGTTGAGAACATTTGTCCACAAGAGATACTTACAAGAGCCAACATAGGTTGAAGATAGCTTCTAAAGGGCGTCTGTAATGCCTGTTGAGAATAAAGGAAATCATCAAGGTTAACCATGAGGATACATGAGGATACAAATTCTATCCTGAGTTTAAAAATAATTCAAGTACTGTGTACATGTGTACATAAAAATATACAAGAAAAGGAGTAGCTGCATAAATAACATGCCTTGCTACTGACGGGCTCTGCTAAACTAGCAGTACAATATACAGGAAAAGAGGAACTGGTAAAGCTAAGAAACTATTATTGAACTAGAACTGCCAAGTTTCATCCAAATACAAAGTATTCCAGCTTGTCACTTAAGAGGAGGTGTACGCAACAGCTAATTCCTCTTTCCAAAATGAGGCAGTAAGCTATACAGCACAAGAAACATGTCCAGATGTAAGTAGACAATTTGAAACATGTCCAGATGTAAGTAGACAATTTGAAACATGTCAAGATGTAAGTAGACAATTTGTACCAATCTTGTTGAGCTGCTTCCTACTTCAGCATTATAGCGAGAATTGGCTCCGAACTCCAAATTCACAATGGCACAGAACAAGTAAATGGAAGCAAGATTGATGCTGAACCATTGTTTTGGAAGGAGCAAAACTGAACAAAGTGAAGCTTTATAGAGCACAAGCTTTAGGCACTTTAGTGGGATGTTATTGAAAAAATATGCTCAATGCATTTTAGAATAAACTAAAGAGGGAAAATGTAAATTAAGAAAATAAAAAATAATAACAAGATTTTGATGTTTCAACCTCCAGGCAAAAGCAATAATGTACCAAAGTATCTTAAAATACAAATAGAGTAAATATCACATCAATTCATCAATAAAAAAACCAAAGAAGAAATTTTCTTGAAACAACGCAACAAGCTACATGATACAGTACAAGACTAAAAGCGATCACAAAAAGAAATATGCAAATACCAAAACTTGTAACATGCAACATGCAAAATGTGGATACAAAGAAAGTAAGACACCAAGCAATGAAGATTGGTGTATTTTTCCAAAAACAAGAAAAAGGTATTATATAGAAATATAAACAGGTAATTTTAAATGATTTATAATAGTGAAATTAAGAAATCTACTCATCCGTCATGCAAAGATAAAGAATAAACAAATTAAAGAGTAAAAATAACTGTGAATATCAACATTTGAATATCAACATAAATAGAAAATAAAGTAAACAATTAGGAAATTTGACAAAAAGATGAAAGATAGTTTAAAGATTTAGATAAGAAATAACAATTTTAAGATCTTTGTCGTGGAAAGATCCTTTAACAGCCAGCATACTTATCGGCAACTGTCAACCAAAAGAGTGGTAGAAAATTCAATAACACACGCCTCTAGAAAATCAAAGTTGCTTTTAACCAAGTAGGGTGGAATGAAGTGCATGAAGGATCAAAAACCGATATTATCTCACTTTCACGCCAAAAACCAGGTTAAAACAACATTTCAGCCCCCAAAAGGAGGCAAAAGTGGGGCTTCAAGTCTGTAAAATGGGGTGAGAGGCTTTTACTATGTTTTTAGTCTGCAGTAAATTATCTGATAAGCTGTTCCGGCTAAAGCACGACTTTCCGAAGCTTTTTTACTACAAATTTGTCGAAATATGAGGTGATTGTATAGAAATGCTCACTAAATGTACACTTTGATTTGTGCAACTAATTCATTGATACTAAATCCTAAGAACTCTAGAAGTTAGATGCTCCTCCAAGAAGAACCTAACCTCCACTTTTTCTTGTCATCGAAATCTTAGTTTTTACAAATCTTTTAAGGGAAATTACGAATTTGTTTTGTTAATTCTCGGAATCTACTCACTAAGTAGTCAGTACCATAGCCGACACCTCCTCTTCAATATTTAACCACGCTTAAGGATCTTAAGGGATTTCTTAAATCATGTTCAAACCTTACAATTTCCTATCTTTTTTTCCCTTTATCATCAAATAGGTTTGCTACACTAAACCCTTTCAATCTGAAGATAGAGCATTCTATCTAAGAGTAATAAAAAAATTTCAACTAAATTTTGTTTAATTCTTAGCAAAAACTATGAAGTATCAAATAGACATAAGATGACCAATGATAGCTCAAAATCACATGAGTGCTGCTATCCTCTAAACGAACAAGCAAATTTATTGAGGATCGCTTGAAAGTAGATCAAAAAAAGACCTGGAGTTCTTCAGGGAGGTACTCATGCTTCATGGAGAGATCCATGGCGCGCTTGAGACGCTGAGTCCTAGCGTCAACGATCTCTCGAGGGAGACGATTCAACGCCTCTTTGATGTCCAGATCTTCCATCGGATCAAAGAGATCATCATAGCGCAATCCTATCAAAATCAAAAAAAAATGAAAAAGGTCAGAGATTTGTTCAGATGTAAAACTGGAGTAGACGAATTAGATCAAGAGAAACCTCACCGTATCTCTTGAGGCGGGTGGCGACGGCGTTGCGGTGCATGGCGGCCAAGGGGTTTTTGCGGGGGTTGAGGAGCCATTGGACGAATGAAGATTGCGCCATCGAGCTTTTGATTGGTTGCTCTCCTCTTGATTTTGGATTCAAGGGTTTTTTTCAGTGTTTGGGGTCGATGGATAGGAGAAAGAGACTAGAGAACACAAGGCTCTAGAGAAAGAGAACGACGATGACTCGTGAAATTAGTTTATGGGCCTCGGCTGCTATATTTGGGCCGCAGAAAGCGGTCCCCTTATTTATGCTTGAATTTTCTTTTAACCATGCAAACTATATTCTGTTATGATTAATACGTGATTAATCTCAGGAAATAATATCCTGAAAGACAACCAAAAGTAATAAAAGATTGTTTAGTTTTTTACTACAACACTCTAAGAGGGTCGAGCTGAGTTGATAAGCTGTCTATGAATAGTTCTCAAATGTAAGGTTAACTCTGCTGAGAACACCCACACGAATTTAGGGGGTGCCCAATAGCCATGCTTGGGGATTTGATACCCATGATCTGAAAGATCGTGGAGAAGTTTCCTCACCAAATAAAAAAATTAATATAATTTTTTTTAGATTTTTTTAATTATGCTTAATAATTTTCTGTAACTCGACTTACTTTTCTTTCTTTCTATTAGTTTCGCTCTCTTTGTTTTTCCTAACTCACAATATTTAGATTTTAAAAAAGAACACATTTTAAGAGGAAAGAAAATACGAAGAGAGAATTTTGGAGAACTTTGATGTAGAGAGATCCAAATATAAACTTGAGTTCGGAGAGACTTCACTGCTAAAAAATTAGGCATCCTAGACGGAAAATTCCGTCTAGGATGCACAGAATTCCGTCTAGGATGCGTATCCTAGACGGAATTCCGTCTAGAATGTTTCCGTCTAGGATACAGTATTCTAGACGGAAATTCCGTCTAGAATACATCCTAGACGGAATATTCTAGACGGAATTAAAAACCGTCTAGAATACATCCTAGACGGATTATTCTAGACGGAATTTCCGTCTAGAATAATTCATCCTAGACGGAAAAAATTTCCGTCTAGAATGAGTATTCTAGACGGAAATTTCCGTCTAGAATACTCATTCTAGACGGAAATTGATGTTTTTTAATTTTTTTTTTAAAAAGGCATTCTAGACGGAATTTTAGTATCTTAGACGGAATTTCCGGCTAGGATACTTTACTACAGTAGTTTTTTTTTTTTTTTTTTATTGATATTTGAATTACTTAGGCATAGAGTTCTCTCACTTTCACTTTAGCAATCTACAAGTAGCTATGTTTCTGCCTACAAAATGCATCCCACATAGGAAAAGTTTATGACTTTCAATTATTTAGGCATACAGTTCTTTCAATTTGCTAACAAAATGACCTACATTGTTTCCAATCACCAAAAGATGAAATACCCTTCAAATGTGAACTATCAGAAGGGGAAAAACATTCTTTGCCTACTTGCATAGCAGTAATGTACCAAGGCAATTACATTTGTTATCCAAACTTTAAAAATTATGGTTGCATTTGCAATAGTCAAGATTGAAACAAAGCATTAAAACAAGAAACCGAGTTCGTTAATGTAGCATAACAATAATAATCACCTTATTAAGTTGCAACATATATTCATACAAGCTTTAGAGATCAAAGCTCATAGACAAGAACAAGAATACATATATTCATTCAAATAAAAATACAATGCAAATACAAAGTAATTAGTGAACACTGCATTAGTGAAGACAAAAGGAATGATTACCGAGGAAAATTGCGCAATGGATTCTCTCTCAACAATTCTGTTTCCCTGCTCAAACAAGTACAAGGCAGATTGATCATTGGAAAGATCGAACTTAGAACAAGATATTAATAAAGGATTGTCATTTGTTAATCCTTACTTCTTAAGATTTTTGCTATTTGCTTTTCTGAGATGCAATATAGAAGGTCTGGGGCTTTTGATGATCTGCACTGGTTGTTCACCTCTGCAATTTTTTTGTGGAAAGTTTAGGAGGTAAAACATGAATATGGAATGCAAGCGTCGTACACGATTTACAAGTACCCAGTTCTTTTACAAAAAATAAAACATCCTTGTTACATGCATAGAAGAATGAAAATAAATAACTCCGTGAAAGCTTAATTAAACTACTAGATTTGTCTTGGTGCCTTAGTTACTCTTAATAAATAGAATCCAACATCATTATCTTACGGAAAATGTTAAGACTTTCATGTAACCATCTTACGGAAAATAGTTGCTTCCCAAATTTGGATATCTCATGTCTTTATTCTATATCCATGAATAAAAATAAGTAAAATTATATTAATAGTTCTTATTAATGCTCAGCCAATAAAAATAAGTAAAATTATATTAATATCTCATGTCTTTATTCTATATCTCATGTCTTTAAATGCTCAGCCATTAAAGGCTTAAAGCCTCTTCATTAGCTGTTACTTGAATAATTTGCCGAAAAATTATATTAATAGTTCTTATTATTGTCCTTTCTTTCTTTCATTTGGTCAAAGGTCCATCTAGATGGAAAATCATCCCAATTCGCTAATCTTGCTCATGTACAATTATTTACTACTTCGAGACTACAGTCCATCACATAATTATATTATCAGTAATTTATTTCTATGAAATGAATCGACATCCCCAATAAATAATCATATATCATTACTTATCAATCTCCATATGCCTTAGCAAATGCAGCTCTAAAAGATAAATAAAACTATAGTGAAGTTCTATAAATCATCTATCAATTTTTTTTCCTCTTTTTTTTTGAAAATAGTATTCATTTTTCCTAACATTAAACCTCTATTTTCAGCTTTCCGACGTCGTGCATCGTTTTATCTCCACATCAATTTTGTCAAAATTCAACAATCTTCTCATTAATCCCAGTGATAACCAAATGCTCATTTATGAATATACAAACTTTTACTTGCCAATTTTCTCAAAAATAATAATAATATGCACAATACAATATCAAAAAAATGGCAAACACAATGCGAATGCGAATTTTACCTTGAGGTAAGAAACATCAAGAGCCTTAATCCCCCTACACTTCTTCACAAGAAGCTCGACCCCGATGTCCGAAATCTCCATGCACCACTTCACCCCCAACCTCTCCAACCTCCCCCCGCACCCGACCGCCACCCTCGCAAGCCCCACATCGGTCACCTCCAAACACTTATCCAGCCTCACCTCCCTCAACCCCCTCGCCACCGCCGCCGCCTCCCTGTCCCCGACCCCCACGCAACGCGACAGATCCACCGCCTCCAACCTCGGGCACGCCGCCACCACCGCCTCCAGCCCCCTCCACCCGACCCCGCTCGCCCTCGAGAGATCGAGGCGCCGAAGGTTGTGGAAGATCACGTTTTCGACCGAGGAAATCAGGGTTTCGTCGGTGAAGGAGGGTAAAAGGGAGAGGTCTAGGGTTTCAACGGAGGAGTAGCGGCGGAGCAGTGGCGTCAAGAATTCCCGGCGGAGTGAGAGGCGAAGGACGGGGAGTTCGCGAGGTTGGGGATGTCTCCGTTGGCGGCGCCGATGATGACGGAGATGTTGGTGCCGGGGATGGATTTGAGGATGGTGGGTCGGCGCCGTAGAGGCGGAGCTTTGAGATCGAGGTTGAGAGGAGGAGCTTCGCGGTCGCTTCCGGTGGCGGGAGATTGTCGGCGACCTGGCCGTGGAGGGAGAGGGAGTAGAGGGGGAGGGGAGGGGCCGGGGTGTGAGGTTGAGGATTTGGGGGGATGAGGCTGATTTTGTGATGAAAATTTTCATTTTGGGGGAAAAGGAGAGCGGCTGCGGGTTTTGACGGGGTTTTTGTTTTTTTTAAATGGCCAGGAATTCTAGACGGAAATTTTTCATCTAGAATACTATTCTAGACGGAAATTTCCGTCTAGAATACCTGATTATTTAAAAAATAAAAATAAAAATAAAGGAACCGTCTAGAATACTATTCTAGATGGATTTTTCCGTCTAGAATACTATTCTAGATGGATTTTTCCGTCTAGAATGTTTTATTCTAGACGGAATATTCTAGACGGAATATTTCCGTCTAGAATAAAACATTCTAGACGGAAAAATTTCCATCTAGAATATTTGATTTTCTACTAGTGCTTAAAGAGAGAAGGAAATCTAGACATTATGAGATAGAAAGAAATGTAAGATAGAATAAGGAGAAATAAACTAGAAACGTTGAAAAACAAAGGCAGAGTTCCCATTTCATTTAGGGTTCTTTTTTCTTTTTCTTTTCTTTTTTTTTTTTTGCTGCCTATGTGGTCGTTTCGTTGGATCTTTCATACTTGCATATTTACCCTCCAATTCTTGGTATTCGCAAAATTACTCTCAAAATCCATCACATTGAGTTTTTCCTTCCACTTAAAAATTTTAGTTTTTAAACCGGAAAATGTTGCAACCTTATTGAAAATCATTAAATAACTTTACTGTTAATTTGCACCGTTTAGAGACTAACAGGATGATATGGGACTGCTAGAATAGCCTGATATGAGTGAACTGAAGAATAATTTTGTAAATGCCAAGATTTTAGGAATAAATTTGCAAATATTGAAGATTTGAAGAGTACATATGCAAAACACCCTTTCTTCTGTAATCTGTTGTAATGTACGACGAACTGTTGATGGTAAATTATGGTCCCCCAAGTAACATAACTCTTAGAAAGAAGGGAGATATTCCAAGCTTGAAATAAAGGGGAATTTTTTAAAATAGCCCATTTTTGCTAAATATTTAGCAAAATAGATCATTTTGCTAAATATTTAGCAAAATAGACCTTTTTTGGCCAATAGGCCAAAAAGATGTCGATTTTGAAAAACAAGTCTCAGACGACATACGGGACATACGGGACTAGTAGTCCCGTATGTTTAGAGCCAACTTAAACAGTGCTTAGTGGACTTAGAAAACATACGGGACTACTAGTCTCGTATATCGTCTGAGTACATTACCAAAACGTACGGGACTAGTAGTCCCGTACATTTTGTAGAGACATTTCGCCTGTGCCCAGCAAATCCACGGGACTAGTAATCCCGTGGATTTGCTGGGCAGAGCCAAAACATGCACATGCCTCATTTATCGATATACGACCAAAATTTTCACCAAAAATATATCATTTACATTGTATACTTTGATTAAAGTTATAAAATTATAACATCACAACACAAATATCAAAAATACACAACATCACCACATAAATCCTACGTAATCAATAA